ACCCTAAACCCTAATACCCTCATACCCTAACACCCTAAGCCCTAGATCCTAAGACCTAAATCTCTTGGGCACCTTCCAGGATCCCTTGCTGCGCCGCACCATGTCGCAAGATCTCGGCTCGAGAGGGCCGAAGCTCTCTTGTTGTTTGGTAGCTTAGTCTCCTCCCTGCCTGCCCTACCTAAGCATTGCATAGTCCTTCATTACCTGCCCCAGAATAATGGCCCAAAGCCCGTTGAATGAAACGAGTCAAGAAGGCTGTCATTCTGGATGCTTTGGGGGTTTAGGTATTCATCTTTTCTGCATGTGGCGGTGTGTGCTTTCCAAGGGAGGTGATTTCTTTCATGGTGCGGCCGAGTCTGCACGATGAGGACTCTCTCAGCTGCCCCAATGTAATTGAGGCATCAGAGCTTCAAGGTAAGCACAGTAATCGTAGTAATATATAGCAAGAAAGAGTAATACTGACTCCAATAGTACTGCCTAGAATAGTAATAACGACAACCCCAAATCCCTAAGACCCCTAAATATTCCATGCTTAAGATGCCTCAGGTTTCAGCTCCTAGCAGTTTACCAGCTTATGCTTGATGCCATGTGTAACTGTATTCCAAACTCCCTAAGGGGGGAGAGAGAGAGAGGTGTAAACAAAATGTATATATATATACATATATGTATAGGTGATAATACTGGGGAGTAGTATAGAGGAAATCAAGGGGGATACTAGCAGTTTCAATTATAGCTCATGTAGGGTAGAGGTGCAACAAGAATCTACTGCTCGAATCCGCACAATCCTGAGGGAGTCATCCTGCAGTGCAGGCGCACTTATCGTACCTCATCAGAAGCAGAACGATAAGCCTTGGCGATGCTTTCCCTCTGAGGTATACATTCAAGACAAGAGCAGCTCTTACCCTGTCGTAAACTTGATGAGGAGATTGCACCGCGACCCACAGGAGTTTACTCTGAAGCCCCGCACTAGGTTCAAAGGCTTCCCCGGATGTTGAACTCCTGAGACCATGCTTCCAGTGTTGAGTTTCTGGATTGGGGACCTCCCAAGCGCAGTATGTGGCAGAGCCATCCAACCTCCGTTTTCCGCAAGTCTTGGAATGTATACCGGGTAGAGAGAGAGGGTTTAGGGATCAGGATATTGGAGTCAAGCTTGAGATATCATTCCCAGGTCTCTAGTGTCGTTGGCGGTGCCGGAGGGAGCCCGCTACATCCATCAACTTGGAATCCCTCGCAGGAGTTGCGGGCAAACTTCAACCTCCAAAAAGAGCGTCTAGACGACGATGCAGTGGTGGAAGACAAGGTGAGGCATGCCATAGGGTTTCAGGTTCAGCCTTTAGGTTTTGGGGATTCTTGAAGTTCCATGGATAGGTCATGTACATACCCTGGACCTGAAGACAGAATCGACAGATCTAAACACTGTATAAGCCTCATGCAGTGTTCATTTCCTTTTGATTCTCCAGCATCGCGCTTTATATCCCTGAAATGTCCCTGTACATCCCTATCTAAGTCCTAGAATCCCCATATCTTCCCCCAAACCCTAAGCCCTAATGCCCAAGGTGCTGTTTGCCCTCCTCGTCTTCTCAATCGCCGCGCTGGTTTTACGGACTGTGGTGATGGGTATTTCCAACTGGCAGGTTGCTTTTGATCCGCCAGGCTCCTGGGCTATAGGGTTTAAGGTGTTTAGGGGTTT